GCTCTCCCCCGGTCTGCGGCTCGGGCTCCGATTCCTCCCGCCGCTCCATTTTGTCTCTGTCCGCGCACGGTCGCCTCATAGAAGGCCGCGTCCATGGCCCTTTGTATCCCGCGCGCCCAGAGTGCCCTGGACGCTCCTGCTCGCGGTTGCGCCAGGTTCAGTGTGGCGCCTTCCTCCTCGTCTCGCACCTTTCGGAAGGCGGGCTAGGGGCGGGCATGTTTGCAACAAGTCTTTGACTTTCGGACCCGCGGATTATATTTAAAAGTCGATGCGCTGGCCCCCTCTTAAACGCAAGGCATGCAGTGCCTTTCTGTGGTTCTTGGCCTTTGTCGTGAAAATACCTGTGAAGATACTTGGCCTGAGCCCAGAGCAAGAATTGGAAGCACGATGCTTGGGGGAAACAAAAAGATGATTAAAATGAAGAAAGAAGTTCACCCCGAATTCTTATGGTATAGTCTAAAAATGAACAGTTGTAGATAGGACCCTATTTCCGTAAGTAAGGCGTGGGATTTCTCCCGAGGACGCTCTTTTTGTTTTGAAAGGTTGGAGAAAGTGAGAATGCAGGGTTTTTCCGGTATCTCATTGGCCATGGTTGCCTAGAGCTAGCGCGGAGCTCTGATGTCTGATAATGGGCATCCTTGCAAAAGATAGCGTTTGTTAACAGACTAGTAACGTTTAAGCCCTGAGTCTGTTCACGTCTTACTGCATATTAAGTAGTAACACATTTTAAAAAATCGAGTTGTGCGTAACTGCAGTGCACCTAAAAGCTTTATTTTATTTTATTTTTTATTTTCCAGGTTCGTATGAGAGAAGCTTAACAAAATTCTACTGGTTTAAGTGTGTGGGGAGGTTCCCCCCCCCTCCCCCGTAAGGGTCCTTATTTGTGACTGGGGCTCAACATTTTTAAAAATATGGAAACTCAGAATTATTTACTGTTCTATTTTTCAGGAATGATTCTGTACCTCTGATATATATATACATATATATATATGTATATGTATATATATATGTGTATATATATATATATGTATATACACATATATATATATATATATATATTAGAAAAGAAAAAAATTCCGGTTGGCTTTACATGTTTCCTGTCCATTAAAGACTGGATATGTTTAAATGTAACCCATCGTTATCAAACATTAAGTTTTAAAATCTTTATTGTGCATGTTGTTTTGTACATACGTTTTGCACATATGATGCCTGAGTTGTGTCAATTATATATTTGAATATTTTCTTGAGTGCTACACAGGTTCTATTGCTTTTAAGCAGTAGACATCTAGCATTTTTCTTTTATTTATAAAATGGATATAATATTGCATCCAAAAGAGCCAAACTGCAAGTAAAGGAACAATTAAGTGTTCAAGACTGTCATCCTAACTTCTCTTACAAAAACATACATAGTTTCGTTTGTCTCCACACATAAAGGAAGAATTGGTGCACAGTTTTAGAAGTTAACGCTTTCTTTAGTACTTTATGAAATTTTTTTGGCTTCTCATCCTTGATTTGGGAGGGACATCTCCCTTACCCAGATAGCTGAAGGAACTGATAACTTTACCTCTGTGCAGTAACTGCTACTGACTGAACAGGAGGTAAGAGGTGAAAATTTTGTGGACCCAATGAGGGGACTGCTTTATGCGTTGTTTTTGGGTTTTTTTTTGGTGACATAATTTTCCACTGACTTGTACCTGCAGCATTATATCTAACACATAGTTGTGTAATTTTGCCAGAAGTCTTAATGTTGGAATAGATTAATGAGATTAACCAGAGGCATTGTTTTTATTATTTTGCATGTCATTAGTCTTTTTGTAATCTGCTTGCAGTGGTGATTACTGTACCAACAAAAATGGCCACAAAAGGATAGTGGGTCACTTTTTAAATTCATCCTGTTTTTTTAAAATGTAACCATCAATGAAATATTCTGAAATTTTACTGGCATTAGAGGCAACTACACAATTAGTTCTGACTGATTTAATCTGCACTGGTATAAGCTGGCGACTTTATTTCTACTAGTTGCTATAGTTGAAATTATGACTTTTATTGTGGTTGAATAAAAATATGTTACTGAGTGGTAGCCAGTCTTGGCTTAATTTTGGTTTCTAAACTGCTGTAAACAGTTTTGAAAATCTTTGTTCTTCTGTGTGAGCTGCAGTTGTAATTGCTTTTGTATGTACATACTTTGAAATTCTGTGTAGTCTACATATTTTCCCTTTTTCACCATTTTATATGATAATATTTTTATGACGTTGGTAAAAAAATTATTCCTGGTAAAGCTCACTTCAAAAACAAGACATTCAGAAGTCTCAGAAGAAACTTTAATCAGTATGGGGTGAGAATGTTGGTAAGAGACTAATTTAAACCATAGTATAGTTTCTTCACGAGATAAACTTAAGAATGAAGGATGAAGGGGAGAAAGCACAAGGGATGCTATACTCTTTAGTTCTTAAGTTGAAGGTCTTTGGCTATCACCACATTGAGAACAGTTACCTCAATGAAAGGAGAATTTGAACTAAAAATTGCTTGAATTTGGAGTTGAGAGGAAACCAGTTCTCATTCAGACTCTATAGTGTATCAGTTCAGTTAGAACTGGGGTTTGTACTCAAGTGTATAAGATAAATACTAAGTAATTATTAGCTTAATGTTTAGTAATTGTACTTTTTTATTTTGACCAAAACTAAATAATTTACAAACTCAGTTGTTGAGAGTACATTCCTAGAGTTTGTGTTTTATGCCATTAGGGGCACAGAATGTAAGCAGTCTTGTTCTTAGTAGTGTCTGACTGCTCTTAGAGTGCACTCTTGTGAGGGTGACAGAGAGATGCCTATGTAACTGTGACACCAACAGTCCTATATTGTAGATATCACTCCTTTTTTGTGCATCTTTGCCCGTAGAATTTTTTTTTTAAATGATAGAGAGCAAAGTCAAGAAAAATTCGGTAAACTCGAGGAAAACACTACATTGAAGTAGTGTGTATTTTGCATGTTGAGAGTCAGAAGTTCTTAATGTAAAATTTAATTTGTGGTCTTGCAGGCTGTAGCTCTAAGATGGTGTTGATTTAGTAATCTGACCTATGTGTGTAGAGGTAGTGGTCAGAGTAAAATTCATTTAGGAGTTATGGTTCTAGGTGTACTTGCAAGTCAGCTTTTATTTTCTGGATCATTTTGTTTCATTATTTATTCTAGCCAATTGTTCAGTCAATCATGGAAAATAAATGTATTGGACAAATATCAGTGAAACCGAGTATGTTTAATGCGAAGTTGTGTAAGATAAGACTAGTATCAAGAGTGAGGTAGGTAGGGATTGATTCACAAACATGGACAAATGTATAAAGGAACTAGAACTTCTCGCTGAGTTTTATTATTTATGAGGGTAGTTAATTTAGCTGCCTGTGAACTGTCTGTGGTTTATGTGGCATATATTTAGTACCAAGTTGGCTTCCTTATTAGTTGATGATTTTGAGAGATTACAAGCCAATTTTAGTTCAGAATATAATTAGGCAAAAATCAGAAAACAATATATTTTCTTAAACGTATGTATTAGATTGGGCCAGCTGGTGGTGTGGTAGTAAAGATGCTGGAACTCATGTAACTGACTGAGCTTTTAGAGGCTCAGACCCAGTGGTTTGAAAAACACCTGGTTCCTGTTTGTCCAAAATTTAGAGAGGTGAATGGAAGAGAAAGGATTGGGGAAGAAGGGGGTTTTCTCACTTTTTCACTCCAGTGAGCAAACACACTCTCTAGCAAATTAATACACACACATATGTATATATGATATTTGTTAATGAACTTTGCATGCTTTCTCTTTCTTAGTATGTTTTGCAAATGCAAAACGTAAATTTCCCACATTTACATTTTTCTAAATGCTTGTGACTGATTCCTTCTTACTTATTTTAAATAGAGAGACTTTGAAGCAAGTGGTCTTTGCTTTGCATTTCTAGTAGTATCATAATGCACAAGTGGTATTATTACAATTTTAGGACCACCAAACACAGTGTTGGGCCTGTCAGGGAGACTGAAGACTACTTTGACAGTTACACCAGTCATCTCAATTATGGTATACAGTACATACAGTATATCTGTGATACTAAAATGACTTTGTCTCAGAACACTTATTTGTATATATGTAGAACATAATCTTGTAAAATCTTCAGAAGATACCTTGACTTTATAATGAGTGTGGGGATTTAGAATGGTAGGGGATGAAAAGAGTGTCTCAGAACACTTGTTTGTATATATGTAGAACATAATCTTGTAAAATCTTCAGAAGATACCTTGACTTTATAATGACTGTGGGGATTTAGAGTGGTAGGGGATGAAAAGAGTTAATCAGTACACTTTTTAACAAATCCTAAAAACTTGCCTACTGGAAGTTAAGTGTAATGTGTAGCTTTATTGGTTATTCACTGGCTGCCAGGAAAAGTAAGAGCGGACAGCATTTGGTGTCTGAAATAATTAGAAGGATGAGGTTGAAATTTTCTTGTTTCGAATGCCATTAAAAATGTAATAATTATAAATACCCCTCACACAGTAGAACTTCATGCTATTGACTATTTCTTTTTGAAAATGTAGAAACTTTTTTTGTTC